TCTCATTTTCTCTAGAATCTCTAGAAAAAGGAATAAAAACGAAAATACTACGAATTAGAGCCTAATTAAGATAGGATGACTAATGTATGCAGCCTAATGAGGAGTAATTCTATAAAAATAAAGAACTCTATTTCAGAACGTAGATCGATTTAGATTTAGGTAATCTATAGATATAGATAAGCAAAGTAATATACTTCAAACAAAGTAGGAATTCGCAAGATGGAGAACATCTTGTAGTTGATTTGATAGAAATTCATTTTTCTTTTCCTGTCTCTATAATTTTCGATGAATGAGCCTCTGGTAATCCTTTTATCTCTATTTTACGGCGCAGGCGCCTGTCCAGTCTATAAACAAGTACTAATAGGGAAATGAAAACTGTACTAAAGGAAACAACATAGGATATCTCTCCTAAAATCTAAAAAAGGACATATTAGGGCTATACGGATTCGAACCATAGACCTTCTCGGTAAAACAGACCAAACAGATTATTATCGAAATGATTCGAACTGTTTCAAAGACCCAACATGCATTTTTTTTGCATTGGGCTCTTTTATCAACTGATAGAAAGATCAGTTAGTCCACCATAGTTTTTCTTTACGGAAAGATAATGAGATGGCTCCCTGCGCTCTGATTGATTATTTGTATTATGATCTATCTAAGAGCAATACCAAAGTGTTTCAAAGGAGGATTACCTTGACTTAGGTCTGCCTCCAGCCTAAATTAAATCAACCTAAGTGAAATAGAGTCTCTATCGTTCCGCTACAAGAGTTGACTATGAGACTTCATATACCTTAAAGTTCGTAGAACGAAAAGAATTTTTTTGGAGGCTCTTATCCTCATTAAGCCTAGCATTTAGTGGGCTGGATATTTACCTTATCAACTAGCAAATCAATAAAGGTTCTATTTGTTTAGGCACCTGGATTGGTACCTGAATCGGACTGAACCAACTATTTGTCAGGCGACTGTTCTCCTATTCTCTCGAATCCATGAAGACATTGATTTTGCAAGAAGATCCACTATGTTCATTGCATAATAAGCTCCCTTGAAAAGCATTGGCGCACGTGTAAACGAGTTGCTCTACCGAACTGAGCTATAGCCCTTGTCAGAGATATCTTAATATATAGAGAATTTCTTGTCAAGATGAATATTCTCGAATAGTAGAGGATATCCTTTGATCTGTTTACTATAATAACATACCAATAACGAAGCGGTATTTGCTTATAAAAAGGATTCGATCTATAATCGATCGAAGTAAAGGGTCTTCCTTTGTGGTGATAAATTGCCTACTTAACTAAGTGGTTAGAGTATTGCTTTCATACGGCGGGAGTCATTGATTTTATATATATATATATATATATATATATATATATATGACTACTTAAAAAATCTGTAGTGGTGGTCTTGATTCCTGACACAGCAGACGCATCTGACAGACACGCGCAATCTCAACCATCCGATTGCCATATCGAACGGCGTCGATCTCCTCCCCATCACGCGATCGCTCCTCTCCTCCTTTCCCCCAAGCCGCGTCGTTCGCTCTCCTCTCTACGTCGTTCGCTCTCCTCTCTACGCCCGCCGGCCTCCTCACCAGACGCGCGATCGCCGCCGCCCTCTCCAATCTCCTCCGCGCCTCCACCTCGCATCGGATTGATCCTCCACCTTCGCCCTCCTCCCGGCGTCGCCTCCTCACCTCACCACCGCATCGCCTCCTCGGCAGCCACGGCCGTCGGCCGCCTCTCCAGACGCTCCCTCGCCGCCGCCCTCGCAAATCTCCTCCGCGCGCTCTCATCCCTCCCTTAACCATCACCGGCCGCTCTCATCTCTCACCAGGTCGTCCACCAGTCCGCGACGATCTCTCCCGCCGGCGTCACTAGCGACGCCTTCCTCGCCGATCTCCTCCGCGCCCTTGCCGCCCCCGATCTCCGCCTGATCGCCCGCCTCCACGCCTCCCCCAATCCGCGCCGTCATATCACCGTTGCCCGGAGTCTCATCTAGCCGTCCTCAATGGGCAAGCACGATGGATCAGCGTTTGGTTCTTTTTATGGGGTGTCATCCTGCATGTGCAGAAAAGTAAAGGTGAAACACATCAATCCTAACTGCATTTTCAGTGTTTAGCTCTCCTTCGTGGATTTAGTGTTCTGATAGATGGAAGTGCTGTTTCAGTTTTTAGCTCTGTATTTCGTGGGTTTAGGTTCTAATGAGTGGAATTCCTCCCGTTGCCACAGAGCAAGCGGGCCTAGATGATGGAGAAGGAGAACCGGTTTGGACAGGATCAATCCAATTACAAATGGGCATGCAACTACTACTGTGACATCACAGGGAAGTGTATGCATCTGTTTAGGTTTTCTGATTACAATTTTGATTTTACAAATGTTTCAGTACTTTGACTCAATGTCCTGCAACCAATCTTGTATTCAATCCAATTTAATAATTTACCCAATTGAGTCTAGGATAGTTTAACAAATCAATCGGGAGTTCAACTATGAATTGTTTCGCTGTTTCAGGTCTTCAGACTTAACTGAAGTTTCAATGTCGCCGCCAGATCACCATTGTTTTCGGTGTTTCGGATCTGACTAATAATTTCTTTTGTTGATCAGACATGGATTGATGGCCTCCACATAAAAATGCATACAAGTCTAGGCTTTATGTGGAGGGCTCCATGGATACTAATAACTCCAATGCTAACATATCTTCTGAAGAATGAGGATGATGATTTTTTGAAAGGTAAGGTATATTTCTGTCTCCTTGGCTTTCCGAGATATGCTGTATGGCACAGTGAAAAACATCTGATTCTTTCCGTCAATATTTAATTGACAAATATATGAATTTCCCCTATTTGTTGGACTAATATGTGTGGTACAATATTTACAACTGTTAGATAAATTCCCAGGTAACATATGAGTGTAGCTTTCATAAAGCTCACTTCAGATTGTTTATTTTCAAGATAGCTGAACGTCTGAACCTTCAACTAGACTCAAGTATGAGTGTGTAGTAGGTTTCAAATGTGAAGGTTTTACTAGACTAGGAAGATCTAATTCCTATTTTCCAGTATTCTGCTTTGATTGCTATCTGTCTTCCAATGCAACAGAAAAGTGCCTCAAGCCACAATGTGTTTTGTATATATATAGCTACAACTTTGATTTGAGACATCGGAGAGTCATCATAGTTTGCTCATTTACCACACTTTATAAATGTAAAATGTAAAAGAGTAAAGTGCACATGTGGTTCTTAAACTTGTAGGGGTGTTTTATCTAAGTCCCTAAACTCTAAAAATGCAGATCCAAATCCCAGAATTTGTCAAAGTGTCGCCTAGGTCCCATTTTGTCATAGCCCCTCTAAGATCCTATGTGGTGTTGACGTGGTATGCCACAAGCACAGACGTGACATGGCATTATCTTGACTGACAAATGGGACCGACTTAAAATTCATTTTCCTTTTTTCTTCTTTTCTTCTCATTTTTCTCTCTCTTTTTTCTTTTTTTCTCCTTTCTCTGTGACCCGAGCACCCCGTGCAGCGGTGGCCTACAATTGTAGATAGAGAAAGGAGTATAAAGGGAAAAAAAAAGAGAAGAATGAGAATGAGAAGAAGGAAAAGAAAAAGAAAAAGGAAAAGGAAAATTTTTAAGTGAGTCCCATTTATCATTTAATATTATGTCACGTCACGTCCGCGTGGCATATGCCACATCAGCACTTTATCTTCAAGTAAGAAATGGACAATATTCTTTTTTTTGTCTAAATACAAATAATAACTAGAGTGACAATATACATTTTGGTTGTTTTGCAGCCTTGTCCAGATAATCAGGACCATATGAAGCGAAATGGATGGTTTAAGTCGAGCTAACTTTAGATATTTATTATTTTGTGTATTTGATAGGAGCAACACATGTACTTTATAGCAAAGTTTGTTCCTAGATGATGTTGTGGATACATATTGATTGATATTTTTCTAATAGCTCTTTATCGTTTTTTTAGCTTAGCTATATGTTTTATGTACCATTGTCCAAGCATATTGTATCACTGTCATTGTTTCATTTGCAATATTAATTGTCACCGTAGCGTTAGCACGGACACACTACGTGTATGTATATATATACACACACAGCGCCTCTGACCACAGCGAGCCTCCGGCTTTTCCGTTTTTCCCGATCCCGAGCGCCCTCCCACCGTTTTTGTTGACTTTGGCGCAACAGGTCACCCCCACTTTTCTCTCCCTCACGTTCGAGTAGTAAAAAGTGTATCCTTGTTATTCCCCCTAATCTTGTTATACCGTGAGTTAAAAAGTTACTTTCTATCCTACAACAATCTGTTAGCCCATGAGTTAATAAATTACTACCCGTTAGATATTATTCACCTCCACACTACACTATCATTTAATTTGTCGTATTCACTGGACAGTTACACTGCCAGTTAACTTGTACCATTAGTTAGCTATGAAAATATACCATATACTCGTACATAGGAAATATAGGAGGATATATTTATGTTAGAGATTTGTCCACTTTATCAGAAGTAAATTTTTTTACTCCCAGTAACTTGTACCATTAGTTAACTATGAAAATATACCGTATACATAGAAACTACAGGAGGATACATTTATGTTAGAGATTTGTCCACGTCATTAGGAGTAATTTTTTTACTCCCAGTAACTTGTACCATTAGTTAACTATGAAAATATACCATATATATAGAAACTACAGGAGAATACATTTATATTAGAGATTTGTCCACGTCATTAGGAGTAAATTTTTTACTCCCAGTAAAATAATTACTCATGAATAAATATGAGAATAAAAAATTTAACTTTTATATCTTGGGTAAATTTCAGATGTCTATTTGTGTATAGTACATTAGTTTTCAGCTTTATAGGACACATGAAATTTGACCTATATGTTTCCCCTTTAAGTAAAAAAAAAACTATATGTTTCCCCTAGTTAACTACATTACCACTTCTTCTGTCTCGGCCTAACTTTGGTATGCCTCTTGTAGCCTTGTAGCCTCTATTATAAGTAACTTTTTTACTAACAAATATTTACTTTGTTTTAGTAGGACAGAATTGATAGTAATTTCTTTACCCATACATATACAAACAATAATTTTTTACACACTTTGTTACATTCAGACCCATACTATACAATAAACGGATTATAATGCTTAAACGTATAGGAGTAAAAAAATTACAAAGGAGCAGAAACACTCAAAAAAATCATTCAGACACATACTATACAATAAACGAATTACATGCTAAACACACAGGAGTAAAAAAAAATAAAACAAAGGGTATAAACACAACAAAAATCATCAAATAAATTCAGATAAGTGGATCCTCCTCTTCATCGCAGGATCCATCATGGGGGCAGCTGGGAGGCGGACGAAGGTTGTAGTGGAGGCAGCTGGCTCGCCAACCATTCAACCAACCAAGCAACGTAGAACAGGATTGTGCAGCCACAGTGTCGGGATGGGCAGCCCAGGATCAAGCATGGCTGAAATTAAACATGCACACCATAAAATCAGCAATCCCTGAAAAGATTAGTGTAGTAAAAACCATCGAAAGTGCGCTATTAATGATTGTCAATAGCTAAACCTCCGGCATCAGCAACAATGTTTCCCAGGTCACCACATGACACACTTCATCATCCTCTAATCCACTGGGTTACAATGTGCTCCTGCAAGACCACAATTTACCATGCACTATGAGTAGGCAGGCCTCAGTGGATTGACTCATAGTATAAGGGAATATCTAAATGGGGATTTGGCGGTGCATATATATTAGGGGTGAGTGGCAAAACGTTGATCATGAGGATTATGAGTTGTTGACCATGTGCTGAGAGTTACAAAGTTAAAAGCACATACTCCTACCAAGGATCATATATATTCAGTTATCATCTAAATGACATTTGGGACAAGAGAGCAACTTCATTGCAGCATTCGGTCAGAATTATTACAGAAAACATATTCTTGTACACTGCATACAAATTAGTACTAATCAAATAGACCAAATTGGTACTAATAGAAAAACACCAGTCCTGGATTACCAAAGCCACTCATTTGTCAGAGAATGCAGCACCTATGTGACTCTAGACCGCATACGCACAGCTACAGATCATCCTACTTCTATTGTTTTCAGAAGCTAGTCAGCTAGTCACACACTTAAAGTACCAACGAAGCCATCAACCAGACAATTTGTAATGTGTTATATTTTAGGATTAATCAGTTGTTCCTACTCAATCGTAGCAAAATTGCATCCCCACAGCCAACATAGCTCATCCAGTATCAAAACGATGGGGCGATCCAATACAGAAAGGACGCCTGATATGATCGGACACATTACTAATTGAGAGGAACCGACGAATTGTACCTGAAATCTATTAAAATCGACTACTGCCACTGCAACGACCTCCTGCATTCCTTGGCGGCGCCGACCTGCCACGCACGATGACAGTGACATCTTGCTAACATCCTCCACTGCCTAGTGGTGGAGGCGTGGCTGGCTTCAGGGGAGGGAGAACGACCCGCCGGACCTCCAAATCCGCTACCTCCTCCCAGTATGCCGCCACCATCCATGCTTCAAACAACGCTGGTGCTGTCACTCTCTACCCACCACCGACACGCAAGGAGCAGAAGAGGATTCTGGCAATGCTCTCGTAGATCCGTCGATGGGATGGATCGTAAATACTCAGCTGTCGATCTCGCTCAAGTAAGGGGAACTCCGTCGTCGGGGATGGAATTCAGCGATAGAGAGGCAGCGGACGGCGCCAGGGCAGCCTCAACCGCGTCGGCGGCCCCGAATATCGCCGTGACTCTGATCTGCCGCTGCCGCCTGGTTCACCTCGCCAACACCGGTGCCATCCCAGCTCGATGGAGAACCCAGGTCGTCGTCCCCCTCGTGAGGCATCTCCGGATCGGCTCTCCTCCGTCCCCGATGGGGAGAGATGATCTGAGAAAACGGGAAATATGGGGATTGGAGAGAGAATGTGAATGTTTAGGGTAATAAATCGGTAGAAAGACGAGAAAGTAAAAAATTTACTTGGTTCGGGGAGTGATGGCCAGGGAGTAAAAAAATCACTCTGTGCACCATGAGGGTGGGTTTCGGGAAGACGGTGGGCAGGGGATTAAAATCCACGTGGAATCGCTGGTGGGCTACCATGGGGCGCTACCAATTAAGTAGCACATCTTCAGCAATAGGCCTTATTTTAAAGCCCCTAAAAGTTAAATGAGGGCTGCCCCCATCTCCCAAGGACCAAAAAAATACCTCCAACTATAGCAATAGCCCCTATTTCATAGCCCCTACTCATGTTTCTCTTTTATTTTAACATGCAATTCATGTTTACACTATGTTTAATACCACAATAATTAAACATAAATATTTCTAACACGTATAATTTAACCATAGTTAAATTTACAATTTCAAACGCCACAGTTCAAATCCAAAATCAAAATTTTCAAACATGTAAATATGGTATGGGCACAATACCATATACAATAACACACAACCAAGATTTATAATTCACCAATGAAAACGAAAATTGCTCACCAACATGTGTAGCTCAGGAAATTAAATAGCAATACACCTATACCCTCTAGAATACAATCACAAGATTTCAGTAATAGAAAGGTGAGGAGCTTTGCCCAAAACCATATTAGCTCGATCCATGCATTCCCCTGCCAATTTCAGTTATAGTACTGATTTTCTGCTGAGTTGTGATATTGTCGATTTTTATTATGATCACTAAAATACAACAAAGTGCCCACCACCGGATTCTTTCTCACCAATTCATTCACATGATCAATTCGGGCACAATTAACCACCTATCTTATAGAATTTTCCTACTAATATCTGAACTGAACAGAAATTTCCACATGCTTCGGGTGAGGGTCAGGAAGATAATGTGAGAAGTGCCACGAAGCTACATAGCACCTAAGGTGCCACATAGTAGTTCTATATATATAGGACAGCCATATGGGACTCCACGGTGTATCGGCTCCAAAGCTAGCTGCCGTTGGATCTAATCCATATCTGTTTGATCATTCTAGGTGTTGGGTTTAACGGGCACCCGTTTGTACATTAAATATGGAATGAGTTATATATGGATTAAAAACTACCGCATGCAATTGCCCTATTATTGTGGGTAGTAACGATATGCATGCATGTTTAGATAAGTAGCTATACTTGCCATATATGATTAGTAATTTCCTTACGGATGTACGTGCCATGTCCAATTTTTAGGCAAGAAACTTTTTAATTTTGAGGGACAAATTTAAGGAAAAAATAATTATATACCCAGATTTGGATTTATACATGTATTAAGTATATACGCATTTAAACATCGATTAGATATATACACATTTAAACATCGATTAGGTATATATACATTTAAAAATGTATATTTGGTATATACCCATTCAAGGCATATACCCAACAAAATATGTATATTTGATATATACACATTAAAAAATTAGGTATATTTGGTATATACACATTTTTAAAAAATTAGGTATATACCCATATTAATCATATAATACTTATGTAAATACTTATTAATCATATAATATGTAAATACTTATGTAAACCCATATATATTAGGTATATACATATTAATCATATAATACTTATGTAAATACCCATATACACTAAATTATCATGCCTAAAAATATTTTTTGACATATAAATACTCCCAATTCCGATACGTTCACACGCGCAAATTAGCAAAACCGATTGGATATACTTATGTAAAGAATTCGATCCGGATTATGTACGTCCTGTGCGTGGTTGGGTATGTGTCCCCTTTGGACTTAATCAGTGATGGTTGAGTATATGCTGTCACTGATAACTTAATCAGTAATCACAGTAGAGATTTAGAGAAAACGATCGAATGACACACATTGACAAATCAACATTTTAACTAATTTAATTTCTGGGTATCCTGTGATAATGCATCCATACAAACATATTATTCGGATTGGATACTGAAATAACAAAAATGAGGTGCTAATTAAAGTATAATACACACTGTTTCAAGATAGATTACACTGTAAGTGTAACACGTAAATATCAAACAAGTGATGCTTAGTACTCCGATGGCTTACATTTCTTCCATATATACCCTCCAAGATGTTGCTTCCGGCTTTACTGAGTTGCTCCGGCTTGTATCGCTTCATATGGTTGCTCTGCAGTAGATATGTTCTCAGCATGTGCAGCAACCTTCAATGACGGCGGTGAACTTCGCAGACGACCGGCAGCGGCGACGACGAACCTCACAGATGACCGCAGCGGCGACGACGAACCTCACAGACCGCACGATCCTCATGGATGATCGATAGTGGCCACGAAAGCTTACAGTTGACCGGCAACGGCGGCCACGACTAACCTCGCGGACGTTCAGCGACGTAACGGCATGGCGAACGAAGCTCGCAGCGACGACAAGCGGACAAGGACGTATGTACCTTGGTGGAGTGTATGTATCTAATCTTTGCGAACGCATGTATATGTGTCTAATCTAAATTCTACAATTTGCAATACCGTCGGAATCGGATGGTATATGTATACACAGAAAAAATGAACGTCCAAATCTGTATACATGGAAAGAAATCAATTCAACATAATTAAGGATAACGTAATTGACGGGCATAATTTTGTCATAATCACGTTCAGAATCCATGTATACTTCATTTGGAAATACATGCATGCAAATAAAAAAATGGAATGTACGTAGATCTTTCTTATCGGGTAAAACCCGCTAATTTTTGTAACACTGAGTTTTTGGTTTGCACAAATCCTAAAACAACTGGATGGTGGATGATTTTGGAGCCCATACTCCATGGAGCATCAAATAATTTACCTATATATATGTATATATGTATATATATATATATGTGTATATGTATATATGTATATATATATGTATATGTATATATATATGTATATGTATATATATATACACCTAGAAAAGAGACATTTTACTGAGCTTACATTGCTGGAATTTATCATTTAAGATGGCAAAGTATAAGGCCTATTTAAATTTTAAAAAGAAATAAAATGCATTTGACTTGGTTTGCTTCCTAATTTGATAAATTAAGCTCAACTCTTGGTTTTGCATAGTTGCATCCTTTTCGTCGCCACATTTTTTAAGGAAACCTTCCATGATCACCTTTAATCTGCTTTATAGATAGCCATGTTTCTCAAAGCGATTGTGCAGAAGCATTGCATGTACTTCTAGTTTATGATTAATGAAAACGATAGTTCGCTGCGTCGACAGACAGGAGCTTGAACCTGGTCTGGTGATCATGAAAAATCAGAGGTGCGCCCGAGGTACAGCTGCAGCCGATAGGCGCTGATCAACCAGCAAAAATCCTGCACGCAATAATCCGCCGAGTACCTGCAATACAATCCACACCAGGTAGCATGCGTTAACCGGGCATCGTGACAACATTACAACAGCTACGTACGCGAATCAAGTCTTAGACCGGTATGTACGTAGCGAGAGGACCACACAACAGATTAATCTACGTACGTACGTGATTGGATTGGTTGCCAACACGTACGTGGGCTTTCGGAACATGCACATGTCATCGGTTCGTTCTAAAAGAAGCCCGCGTAAAACATATTATATTGTAGAATCTACCGTGTTGGTGTTACGATCTACTAAAATAATGGTTAAATTTTTCTGGTTAGCGTGAGAGTTCGTAGAAAGTGTCCAATTAGTATAGACATAGATAGGTAGATAGATAGATAGATAGATACATAGATAGATAGATAGATAGATAGATTTTGTGGTAATTAATCGCGGGTACAAATGAATGAATTAAGTATTATAAAGTTTAAAATTCTATTTAAAGAAGTCTAACTCGAAGCTTCATCAATAAGAGTACTCATGGTAATCGATAATCCATAATTAGTCTGATTCGACCTGGGCCAGGATAGTTCAAATCCTCCATCTAAAATGGTTTAACATTGCACTAAATGATATACTATGTAGGATAAATATGATGTAAATATCAATTAAATGAGAAAAAAAGTAAACCGGATCTTGCATAAGTCCTAGTTTATATGTTGTTCCAAAACATCATGAAAGATTAGTGCTAATTAAATTAGCTTACGTATTAAATTGGTACTGTGTGCATTGGAGTTATTAGAGCAGGTACAATAATAGGCTATAAGCCAGCTATAAACATATTTTAAAGAGATAAAGAAAGAGAGAGAAGAGCAGCGGCCTATAGATATGTAGCAGCTGTAGCACGGACTCCAAGATGTAATGTGTGTATGATAGGTGGGACCAAGCATTAATAGTATAGTAAGAAAATATTGTATGAATTGGCTATTACATTGACTACAAATGAATTGGAGGTATTAGTGGGCTATACTATTAAACTTGCTTTTAGGCCTATAATTAACTGCTATGGTATGCTTGTGGTATTTAACTAGGTGGCATTTGGCTGTGTACATCCTTATTGGTGTACATGCCGGATTTTAATTCCATTATCTAAAGATTTAACTAGGTGACGTACATAGAGCATATGACATTATTGTTGATGTAGAATCTCTCCGTCACATCTTGAGCATGTTATGTGCAACTCACAGCGGTACCTGAAGACGCGTCACCGCAGGGGAGGGCAGATGCCGTCGAACGGTAGTGACCCCCGTCAGGGAGGTTTTTCCTAAACTCGACAGGCCAGCTAGGATGTTCCCTAACACTGTAGAGACGAGAGACGACGAGCAATTTGGGGATTGGAGAGTGGATATAATATGGGACAGGTAGCAAGAAGGAGGGAGATGTAGAATAGAGAGGATTTGGGTAATAAATTGATTTTGACGATTGATTGGTTGTTGTTGCAATCAGTCCTGGTCTCCTTATATTTATAAAATAGGTGGATTTACTTCCTAGGGTATTTCCCATATCCAATTAGGTGTATAAACTAATTAGGACTATAAAATCTTAGGCCCAAGAAAAAAAAATCCAAGAAACCATAAATTGGATTCTGAGTCGAACTCTACCTGCCATCGGTCAGACCGGACCCCTGCTTATGGCGACAGTCTGGTCGGCTCACGTGGCAAGCCCGAATTCTTTCTAAATTTGATCATGTTTTTCTATTCTGAATTTATAGGTGTTAACAACTACCACAGGAAAAGGTTATCGGTGCCAGTTCAAAGCAGCTATCACTGCTGGTTTTTATCTAGCACTAGACCGGCACAATTCCCGATTAACTATATTAATCTGCATGCCACACAAAGGATTAACTATATATATTATCTCGAGCCCTCGCACTACCAAAAAAGAGAAACAGTTATATTGAATTTGGTGTTCCACTCAAGCAGTTGTGCTTAATAATGCAGAATTTAATATTATATGGTTCCATTTGGTGCTTATAATAATGCAGTATCTGATTGCCCACTGCCGATTAATATAACCGACGGTGCATGGAAGAAGGGTTTTGGGTGCTAGGGCCCCTGTTCCCGCTTCTGTTCTCAGGGGAAATAAATATATGATTCTAAACTCAGTATCTGTTCACTTGATGACACAGGGAAACAACAAATCGACCAAATTAAGAAGAATATAAATTTATTTGAGATTTTTGAACTGTTAACTTCAATTAATCGCTTGAGATGCATACCAGTCGTTTGTAGATTATTCATGAAAGAATCCAATCATCAAATTCCGATCATGAGATGCCACCTTTGTGTGTGTGTCTGTCTATATATATTACCGCATCCTATCACTTCATCTTCCAAGCTAGATGTTGAAGCTGTACATAAACATTATCAACAACAAAAGCAACGGTGAGAAGCAAAAAAATAATTGAATCATTCAAATGTAGTCACAAGCCAGTAACTGCCATACTTAATTTGTCGCTCTCAATTATATTATTGATTGATGTCTTATGTTTTTCAGGTGATTTTGTTAGATAACATGATTGCAATATACCTTGATCCCTCATAGAGATGATTGCAATATCCTTCTGGTAATGGTTAGATTTCCTGTTATTCTCTTGTGATGTACTATCTGATCACATGGCATGCATTGCCTATATGGGTGATTTCTTTTCGTGCTCTGTTTTCCAATGTAGTACAAATCGTGGTGGAGCCATTCAAGTGAATGATCCAATTATCCAGTCAAGTAGTATTAAGAATCTATCTCTATTCAGTACGTATATTCACTTATCATGTCTGGAACCACTGCGATATGGTATTCACAATCCTTCATCATCCTGATCTGAGGTGTGTATGTTGCCAAGTTTTCAAGGAGACAAAAGATGAGATTTGTTGACTTTGATGGGTTGGAGTTATGGAAACGAGATGGTTGCCAAAAAATATTCAGGTAAAATTTATTTTTTCAAAATAAGTTTGGTTGCATGGCTAAATTGGAACTTGCTGTATTTGCTATACCCCCTTTAATGCTTTGGAATTTTTAAGAGCTCTATACTGTTGTCTGCTGGTTCTGCATGGACCATAGGTCTTTATTTCACTTGCTGTGTTCTATTGCTGCATTAAGCAGTGCCTTTGCACCCCGAGTTCAGATAAAGATAGGGGAAATAAAAATAATAAATTATGAAACCGCCTTTTAAGTAGTAGTCAATATTATTGTTTTGATTTTTTTTAAACCATGTTGGCATATGAATGTGATTAATAACCACCTATAGTAGCATATTGTCACATCCTGATTTTCGTCTTAGGAATTATAAATTATTTAATAAATTATTATTAGAATTTATATTAAATATTCATTAATTTACAAGTGAAGTTAAATGTGGGAAATAAAATTTCCTAAATATAAAGCATGGATGGATTTATTTTTTATTAAATTCTCCATGGTTAATTATACTCTCTGAAATTTTCTCGGATTTTTCGGAGCTCAATTCCTAATACAAAGAGCATTTCAGAAATTATTCACATATTAAATTAATCATTAAATGGTCTGATTATAATTTTTTTAAATACTTATAGTGTTCAAGTATTTTCAGGATTTTTCTTGAAATTATTCGAGCATTGAAAGTATTTTTAACAATTCAAAGATCATTTCAGTGATTAATTTAATTGGAAAAGTAATAATAATCCTCTTCCTAGTCTTGGGCCCTTTTCAGCCCATCTCCCTCTTTTGTGTGCACGGCTGTGCAGCCCAAGTCGGTCCAGCCGAGCTCCCTCTTCTCTTTCTTTCTTTCCTTTGTTTTTCAGCCAGCCCAAGACGAAAGTCTAATTAGCCTCCTGCTACAGTGTCGTCTTCAAGCTTGGACAGAGCCCGAGCCAGCCGTCCTTTACCTGTGTGCAGCCGCCGCTTCCTCCACCAAATCCGCCGCATCCCGTGATCCGTTTGCAAAATTAGTTGAGGGGAAATATTCCTCTTATCCTCCTCTATCTCTTCTCCCAAGAATCGGACTTTATCCCGAAGAAATCAACGCGGAATCGAGCTCGATTCGTGTTTATCTCTCCAACTAACCCTCGGATTTTCCGGCTTCGATTCCTCTCGGTTGGAGTCCGACCTCTTCAATCCAAGCCTATAAATAGCATCCCCTAGTCGTCCTCTTTCGTTTGCCTCATCTCCCGAGCTCTCTCGTGCCCCGTAGTGCCGCCGCCGCGCCACCCAAACCGCCGCCGTCGCCGGCCGGCGAACAGCCGCCTCGCGCCGTCGTTTTAGCCGCCGCTGCCGCCTCCTCACGTCGCCGTCGGGTGCGCGTGGAAGAGGGGAAGCTCGGGCGCCCCTTCGCCGTCGCCACCGGTCACCGGAGAGCCTTCGCCGCCGTTCGGAGCTCGTCGCCGGTCGTCGTTCGTCGTCGTCCGTTGTTGTTTCTTGCACCGGTGAGTTCCCCGCGTCGCGCTCGTCGCGTTGGTGCCCTCTGTTCTCGCCGCCGTGACCTAGATCGCCGGTGACCGTGATGTCCCGAGCTTCTCGCCGGTGATGACGTCATCGTGATGTCATTAAGCCCTTTTCGTAGTTTTCTTTATTAGATGAAAATCGATTAAAACTTCAGAAATTCATAACTAAATCATCGTAACTCGGATTCGAGTGGTTCAAGTTGCTAAATTTTTCTAAAATCAAGATCTACATGTTAAAAATATCCACATGTACTGGTTATGCTTGTTTTTTACTGTTTTGCTGATTTTGTTCTTTCGCTTTAGTTTCCGATGTTCCGGAGGAGAGCGTTTTCGTTGAGGAAGGTTCAGAAGTGTTTGCGGAAGATCAAGGCAAGTCACACAGATCCCAAACAACCCTTTGAGCATGTTGAACCCGTTTAAAGCTAATGTTTTATTTCAACTTATGCATTATTTTCGAATGTCATCGGGTGGTGAGCCTTTCCCAATTAATTAATGGCCGAAGATGACTTTATTTTCCTATGTGTTATAATTTGATTAGCTAGAACCTTATATATTGGTTTGGTTCAGCTAAATGCTATATATATATAATTGCTTAGCCATGCTTAGAAACATTAGCATCATTAATGTGGTGAATTATAGTATATTATTACTTATGGTTATATTTAATGGTAGCTCACGATGGTTAATCGTGTTATGATAATTAATTGATAATTAAAACTTGATTAAAGGTGGGTTGTGAGCACATGGTTTGAAAGTCGTGCTCATGACAATTAAGGACCGGTTCGCGAGCTACTGTTGTGAAACATTAACCGTACCAACCACAAGCCAGCGTGGGCAACGGCTTTACCTTTTGTATAGCATGATTCGTTGTGGGGTACCAGACTGAGAAGCGGCGAGAAGTCCGTGGGGGTCGCTGGGGAGTCCATGCCTCTGGTTTTTGAGGGGGTGATTATGATCTAGGAATGGTGCACTGTGGTGAGTTGTGTTGTGCATGGGGTATTGTCACAGCCTCTATTAGGGTACTTTCCAGTATCGCGACGCATGGTAGACATGATGTTGAGGCTGTGTCTTGTAGGTACAGTGGTACACCTCTGGCCAGAGTAAAACTATTCGAATAGCCGTGCCCGCGGTTATGGGCGAGTTGAGCAATGTTTTTCGTGATTAGTCTCACACCTCTCACAATAATTATTGATGCTATAATTGGTAATAATTTGCTTAGCTCCTGGTTTGGAGTTAGATCTGTACAGCCGGGTATGGTTGTTCAGAATGGTTGGGCCTGAGCAGCATGGGCGTGTTGTTCAGTGTTGATTAAAATTAATGATTAAAGTACTCTACTATTTTATTACTCTTAAATGTTTGCTAAATGCTGCTTTTACAAATGAGCCTATATTATGCCATCTTTTGGTATCCTTGTGCACTTGCATATTTGCTATGTGGCTTGTTGAGTATGTCATATGCTCATTCTTGCAATAATCAATCAACCTCAGTTGAAGAAAAAGGATCCAGAAGGAGAAGACGTTTGGCTTATACACCAGTTGAGTTGCCTGTGGGAGTGGAGCTGAAGCCATCGCTAGACCGTTATTCCGCTGCTGTTTTCTTTTCTTTTTAAGTATGTAACGTTATTATTATGATGGATTTGTATATTAAATTGTCATTATGATGGATTTGTATATTAAATTGTCAGTTTGTGTATCTCGGCTGATTCATGGACGAGGATTTTTATGTACAAATTAGTTCGGAAATTACTAGTGAATTTCCGGGCGTGACACATATGTTGAACAAGCTACTGTAATTCAAGGCATTAAGGGTATTAAGTATTGCTAGTGGTTGATTAATACCATTAGATTGAATATATTTGTGTCTATACCGAGGGATATTGTGTATAGTTTATGCATGCTTTCTATTTTTAAATATTGTCAATGGTTGATTAAGATTGTTAGATCGGATATATTTCTGTCTCTATCATACTATTATGTTATGAATTATTTTAAAAAAATATTCAGGTGATTACTACCAATATCATCTTGTTAATAATGATTTAATTATGCATGATAAATAAGTTGTATTTTCTTGTTCCTGGTACATGCATTTAATATGACATAGTTTATACAAATTACAAGCTATTGCATATCCTGATTATAATTTCTCCTAAAGTTATGCAAAAAAAACAAATCTAATTGTTAAGGGTTAAAGAATTATCTTCCGTCATCATAAATGCAGTAAATGCAGATGTATCAGGTCCAACAGGAAATTGCTCTTTTTTTAAAAAAAATCTAGGTGCATATGAGTAGCGTCGAGCAAGAGATTGCTCAATATCCACACCAAATATTTTGTGTATATATGTGTCTTGTTTATGTTTTCAGTTTCTTTATATAGGTTGAGAAAATGTTTGTATCCTACTTGACCATGTAATTCTTATTGTTGGATTATGTATGTAATTTCTGGGTTGTAATTCTTGAGCCATGCAATTGTATATGACTCTATTTGGGTTTCAATCCTTCCAAAAAAAAGGTCAGAAAAAACCGGGCCCACTAAAAATTTTTGCGACCCACGATCAGAAACAACTGTGGGAAAAAACCAGGCCCACCAAAAAAACAAACGGACGAAAAAAATCAGGCCAAAAAACCGCACACGAAAAAAAACCAATCGGACGAAAAAAACCGCACGTAAAAAAATAGGAATCGGATGAAAAAACCGGCCAAAAAAACTGCGCGTGAGAAAAAGAAACCGCGTGCGATAAAAAAACGACAGACATGAAAAACTACTGGAAGCCTTACTTATTTTTTAAGTAGGTGTGTGTATATATATATAGGTGGACTGCTGATGGGTCGAATCTGCGTGCCTGCAGTCCAGGACCACACGCCCCACATATATAGGGGATTTTTCTTTTCATTTTTCTCTTATTATAGATAAATAGGTACTTCCTCCGTTTCACAATGTAATACTTTCTAGAATTGCTTACATTCATATAGATTATATGAATCTAGGCATATATATGTGTCTAGATTCATTAACTTCTATATAAATATGAGCAATGCTAGAAAGTCTTACAATGTGAAATGGAGGGAGTACTAGTGAACAAGCACACCACTCACACGATGAAAAAGAGATCACCACAATATTGAGATCAAGATAGATTGACTATTTAATCTTGTGGGAGCCAAGAAACAAGGAGGAGCTTTTCCTTACGGTGCACGGCCAATCCAAACGCCTCGGTCATATCGATGCCTCCCTTTGCCGCCTGATCTACCAGTATCTCCCAATCAAAACGGTAAACAAGGTTTGCTAGCATGATCTCGATTGTGGCGATAGCAAATTTAGCTTTTTTCATATGTAAAACCGTTCAAGTAGCGACAACACCGGTTCTATAAAAGTTGTTCCCTTTCCACGTACTTTCGTTAACACCACCTATAAGCTTATCTAGTGTACACGCGTTCCCTTTCCATGTATTTCCATTAGCACCTCATATAACTTTTTCTTGCGTGCACGCATAAGGTACACGGGTAATGACGTGCTCTCGGAAGTGGTCCTTACCTGCACCACTATATAAAGCAATGCCTCTCATTACCACACCACCAAACGTATCCTACATATTTATATCTTATATTGAACAACTAGCAGAGCTCTTGTTGCCCGGACCGAAATTTTGACAATTTGACCTTTTACAAAAACTTATTACAAGAATAAACCGTGTGAAATACTTATTTCAAAAATAAACTGTGACCTCAGCGCCATCGAAATTGGTGCTGAGATCCAACATGTCAGCGCCACTAATTTTGGTGCTAAGCTCCGTTCGAGGTGGCATGTATTAGCCACATCATCAGGGGTCAACGCCATTCTCATTGGCGCTGACCTCTGTATCGGTTAAAAGATTAACCTCCCTTTATCCAACTGAGAAAGTGTGATAGCTCAGTGGTTGAGGTGGTTTAATTCAAAGCAAAGGTCCAAGGTTCAAACCCACACATGACTTCTTGTTTACATTTTTCCCTACTAGCCGTTATATGCTCAAAAAATATGCATGCTGATGACAGGAGTGCTAAAAACCACAGGAGCTAACCACTACACTAATAGTACATTCGAAGTAGGAATCACCATTATAGCCTTTACCACTACACTAATAGTACATTCGAAGTAGGAATCACCATTATAGCCTTTACCACTACACTAATAGTACATTCGAAGTAGGAATCACCATTATAGCCTTTTACCCTTTACAGACGTCAGCGCCATTCGCGCCAATAAGAATGGCGCTGACCTCTAATGATGTGGCTAATACGTGCCACCTGGACGGAGGTTAGCGTCAAAATTAGTGGCGCTGAGATGTGTCCAATGGCCCTGAGGTCGCGGTTCAATTTTAGCTCCACTATACTAATAGTACATTCGAAGTAGGAATCACCATTATAGCCTTTTACCCTTTACAGACGTCAACGCTAATGAGGATGGTGCTAACCTCTGATGATGTGGCTAATACGTGCCACCTCGGATGGAGGTTAGCGCCAAAATTGGTGGCGCTGAGGTCACGGTTCAATTGTGAAATAAGTTTTTGACACAGTTTATTCTTGTAATAAGTTTTTGTAAAGGGTCAAATTGTCAAATTTTTGGGCTGCCCGGTGCACAACGAGAGCTAGCTAGGGTGGAGTCGTTCTGCTGTTCTTGTCCAACGATGCAAGCGGCCCAGGCTGCCCAGGCTGGACTAAAAGCTTGTATGTTTCGCTGACTACAGACTATTGGTGAGATCCTAAAGTATTACCTACAGATTTACATTTTTAAAGTCTCTATATTACTTCAGATGATGAGATCATTTATCACTCATAAACAAATCACAAAGTATCAAGTAAAATTCTTTCAAGTTTTTGCAGTCCTTTGGTATCTTTCTCACTTTTTATGTCTTTTTTAACCTCAAAAGTCAAATGTAGATTGAAGTGCATTCATGGATTTGGATTGTATTAGTTGAAAAGTTGAAATTTATGCCATCATGTCCCAATCTTACTAGAATGATTGCTTGGTCTTTGTGTTTTTACTACGGTGATTTTTCGGCATGCATATAAGTTACTCTTCGTTTTTCTTTTGGAGGATTGATCTAGGGGAGATAGGAATCAAGCAAATTCTTCACTGTCCCATGCATTATATGATAGATCCCATTGTTTTTATCTTTTTCAATAATGCCATTTCATGAGGTATCATTGCTTCAAAAGAAATGGTCAGTAACAAGATTTCAATATCTAGCATGTCTTTTCATAGATCACATCAAATTCAAACGGAGAACATTCATAAACATAAAAATTTATAAGCTAAACCAGGTAAACAGGATAACATAATTTTCTAACGGTTCAACCAGGGGCAATT